GGGGGGGGGGGGTTAGAAATCGTAAACAATAGGAATGCCATGGATCTTTTTATTTTATTTTATTTCTCAGACTATGTCTTGTTTCATGTAAATAGGAAATTAATCTAAAGGTTTTGTCAATTATAGATTTTCAGTCATTTTGATGAAAAATAAATAGAGTTTCAAGCATTTTTAATAAAGAAAAGTCAGCATAAAGGTTGTATGTAATTCTTAAGGAAGAAAAAGCAAAAGAATTTATCTAAACCTCAAATCAATAATTCATACAAGTAGTCAAACTGCCATCTAATTAGTATTGTTTATCTTCTTTCATTTCACAACTAGGGCTGAAAATTGGAACTCGAGGGATTCACATGTGAATTTGATCCTTTTGTTTTCAATATACATTTCAAAGTTGTGGACTTTGAAACCTAAAAAGAAAAAAAAAACGTGAGCAAAGTAGAATAAGAAACTATTTCATGATATTGACACAATTGAAAATAATTTTGCCATCTTTCCTAGTTCTGACATGTTAGACTAAGTCGGTCCAAATATACCTTTAATAAGGTGTAGTATTTTTTACTTTTAGTCAACCTTGTACGATAGATTTAATAATATCTTACATCGTCAAAGTATCTCTACGCCTTGTAAGTAACATTTTTTCATATTTCAACTTTCTATGTGCAACTTTATTCGCGTAAGCTAGTCATAACAGTCTAATTTCATACTCCGTTTCAATTTAAGTGAACTCATTTGGGTTAGGGATGAAGTTTAAGAAAAAAGAAATGACTTTTGAATTTGTAGTGTAAAATGAAGCATATATATTTTGTGTGGATATAAATCATTGCATAAAGATAAGTTGATTCCAAATAAGAAAATATGTCCTTTTTTTTTTATCACGAACTAAAAATAAAATAAGTTCACATAAATTGAAACGGATAAAGTACAAGTCGATGAACAAACTAGAAAAATCTAGAATAACAAGAAGAACGCCTAGCTGAGAGTGGATGTTTAATGGTATTGAAGTAAAACAGTAGGATTTTGTGATCTCTCCAAGTTGGTTCCCGAAAATACGAAACATCTAAGTCATACAAGTAAAGAGATCTATTCAACAAGCATTGAATTAATGATAAAATAGTATCCGTTTTTTTTTTTTTTTTTGNTTTTTTTTTTTTTTTTGTGATAGTATGTAGCAGTATTTTAAAAGGCGGGGGCATGAGGCGAGACGTTTTACTTAATAAGAAGCGAGGCGAAAGACTAGTGACACAGGGCGTAAGCCAGATCTTTAATTTTTTAGACTTATGAATTAATAATATAGCATTATAACACAATAAAAATTTAAAAGATAAATTAAAAGTTCAAAAAACTAAGCACAATTAAAGAAACTCATATAAAATAAAATATTTAGCATGTTTTACAAGTATAAATAATACAATATTTAGCATGTTTTACAAGTATAAATAATACAATATTATTAATGTTACTATGAAATATAAATTAACTATAACCTCTTAACTTTCAAACAATTAAAAGTTATAATTTCTTAAAAAATATTATCAAAATACATATTTTACCTCTTTAAAAGTAAATACTCAATAAATTTTATCAACACTGTAATTTAAAATATTACTCCTTCATGAGTAAATATAAATTTATTTTTAAATAGTAAAATAAGAAATGCATGATAATTTTGAAAGACATAAAACTAAGACATGAAGATCTATCAAGTAAAGATATAAATTTTGGTCATCTATTTTTAGAAGAAATATTCAAATGATATTCATTCTCACGATGTTTTCAATTAGTAAATATGTAATACTATGGTTTGTTATTTGAGTTATTCACAATTTTTATATTCCTATAGATAAAAAGAACTTTAATCATTCATTTGTTAAAGAATTTTAAGTGTCAACAGTGTAAATTAATGAATTCAAACACATGATTTGCATAAGAACTATTGGGCGAGTCCCCAGCGTTGAGCGTTAGGTGTGTTTAGGGCGCACAATCGAGCGATCGGAAGCGTAAGTCTCACAGAACTAAGCCCCACACAATAGTCTCAAGGCGTTTTGATAGTGTCCCGCTCTGGAGTGAGCCCCGAAGCGAGTCCCGAGGCGAGTTCCAGAAAAGCCTTTCAGAACACTGTATGTAGGGCCTTTATTATTAGGATGTTCATTTTTGTTTCAAATCCGTTGGGGGTATCTGAAATTCAGTGAACCTTTCTACAACATATTTTGTAACTTGGCATTTGGTAGGTTATATATATTTTCTACTTATTGATGAGTTATTTCTGTGTCCCACTTCATGTTGACATTGAGTGTACTTTGTATATTGTAGTTAAGATTTGATGGGGTCGTGTTTTCTTTGGGGTCCCATGGTTAATTGATTGTTGAACTACTGAGCTGTAATCAAGTACCAGATTAATTGGATTAGCAAATTGGTGAATGTTCATATTAACAACGTTAAACTTGACATGTATATATTTAGAGCAATGGTAAAGTTGTGCATGTAACCTACATGTCACGAGTTTGAGCCGTAAAAGTAGTTACTAATGCTAGTATTATGGTAGACTGTGTACATCATATTCCTTGGAATATACCTCTTCCCCAGACCCTGATGAATACGACATGCTTTGTGCACCGTGCTGCCCTTTTTAGTTGAAGTTTCTCGCTTTATTATCACTACAATATATTCAGGTCGGTCTACAAGTTGGGTTGAAGATCAGAACCCCCATATTAATTCAAAGGATGATAAAGAAGGTAAGCATACAACACAGAAGAAGAAGTGTAGGGTTTCAGAGTTTCCAAAGAGAAGTTCGAGTTTATGCATGACGAAATGTTGTTGAGATGCTAATTTTAATTTATGAAGTGCTACGTGTCAAGATCATGAGCATTGATGCAAATATTTTAAGATCATATATGACACGTTGGTTTGAGAAGAAAAGGCTAAATCCTAGCCATTCATTTAACAACCTTAATTTCAGACGAGGAAAGAGCAATAGAAGCTTCCACACGTGAATAACAAATGCACACACATTGTAAAGAATAATTTCTGTTAGTTAGTTACACAATTAACCAATAGAAAATAGTTTAAGTGTATAGGAATATTTATTTACATTCTTTTGTATCTACAACATATACTTGTATATAAGGAGGAGAGTATTGTGAATAAAATTACAAGGAGAAATTTTTCACAATTTCAGTCTTTTCTTTCATGGTATTAGAGCAGATTTAGCTCGATCCATTCATAAATTTTCTCAGGTCTCTATCATTTTCATTTTAGTTCTACTTCTACCTGTGGATTGAATCATGTCTGGAACAGAAGCTGCAACTGCTATTTCTGTTTCTGGATCCACAAGTAGTGGAGTAATATCACGACCCAATTTAGGATCGTAATCGGCGCTTAGGAGCAAGTGCTCCCAAGAAAACCTTATCGGTATTTTACAGAAAAACGGACAGAGTTTTCCCTATTTTTGGGCTATCCAAAAAGTTTCATGTCTCATAAACAAGTAACAACCAATCAATATTCATCTAAATTAGTCATAATCTTCATCAACTAACCACAAACGGTTTTCCACCAATATTACCAACCTCCTCAACATAATAAAACTAAAACCAACTCTAAAAATACGGAAAGAAAGTGCAATACTAGTAACTAGTCCATATCAACAAATGAATACTCACGACACTAAAAGGATGACTATGAAGTGACTCTAAGAGTTCAAAGAAAAGACCATAACAATAAGTAAAATCTCCGCCCACACGAACAAGTGCGAGGCTCACCAAGAATGCGCGCTCTAATTAACGACATCCTCGCCCGCGTCAACTGCTGTCTCTGTAAAATAATAGCGGGGAGTGAGTCGCTAGCTCAGTGAGTAATAACACTTAACCACAACCGTTTTTATTGGGTACAAGTCAGAAAACATGCCTTCATAATAATAACCAGAAACTATCATAAACATAATTGCCATCTCAAAAACAGTAAATATAATCAGTTTATTCATGTGCTTCCTGTAACACAAATCAATGTAACAAATTGGTAATAAACTCGGTAAACACTATCTCATAACAAATCTTTATGCTTGGAAGGTTTTCAAGAAAGGATCATGTAATCACTGTGTGGACCCCTTCGTAAAAAGAGTCAAATATAACTGTAGGTTCCTACTCGAAAAAAAACTGTAACTGTATGCTAGTTTTACCTTCCCACTAGCGAGGGCTATAACTGTACTCGATAATCGGTAAATACAAAGTGCACCTGGTCTAACTAACCAGCCGTTAGCTACGGGATCCTTCAAAGTCTACTCCCATTTATACTTGTCTCTGTAATCCGTATATACTCATAAGAAAATATTTTAAAATAATATAGGGCATTTCGGTTCTTATCAAATCATGTAATTTCATTTTGATAACATTAAATTCAAGTAACGGTAAAACATATGTAGTGACAACAAGAATATTTAAGACAACGGTAATCATCTCAAATAACTATTTCGGTATCATATCGGGTAAAAGACTTGTCCCACATGCAACTCAAAATAATCGGTAACATATTCATATAAATCATGTGTAAATCATGCAAGTTATGAAAATACAAATTGCGGTAAGATTACTACTCACAGTACTTGTGCCGAAATACCAATTGCTTCACCTCGAGGAATTCGTACAAATTCCTCCAATCAATCTATAATTACATAATATCGATCTCATGTTAGTTTCCTTGTTTAGGCTAATTCATAGCTAATTTAGAATACCCAACCCTCAAGGTTTCATATTTGACTCTTAATTCACCGAAATATATTTACCCACATATGAGTAATTACTAATCTATCAACTCCAACCTATTCATATAATTTATTAATCCATTTTCATAAAGTTCTATTGATTCTTTAGGAAGAAAATTCTCAATTGCGTGAATGAACTAGTGAAATTTCTATTACTCTGTAGAATCTTCCAATCATAAGAATTGAAATTAAAATCTATCAGAAGAAGAAGCTCAAGTATTACCTGTAAGACTCAATCAGTGCTTAAGATTCCTCAATAGTTATAACTATGGTTCCAACACACTGCGCCAACTTGTTTTCTCTTTTCCTTGTTTCTTTCTCTGCTGGTTCGTGTTTTTTTGTTTTTCATTTCCTCAAGCTTTCTACTTCGTTCCCCTTCCCCTAACCCTTTTAAACTTTTGGGCAGAAATGTTTGTAATGGGTTTCGGCCCTTTTATTTCAATTCCTCATTTAAAATATTAGGGTATTACATCCTCCCCACCTTATGAAATTTGGTCCCCGAATTTAACTCAAGTACGTACCTGTAGACTGAAATAAATGGGGATACTTCGCTTGTATATCTTTTTCTACTTTATACGCAGATTCTTCAACTGTATGATTTCTCCATAACACTTTGACGAACACAATTTCTTTTGACCGTAGCTTCCTTACTTGACTATCAACAATAGCCATCGGCTCCTCCTCGTAAGACAACTTCTCATCAATCGGTATAGTAGGTACTTCAAGCACCTGAGATGAGTCTGATATACATTTTCTTAGCATTAAGACGCGAAATACTGGATGAATAAAAGACAACTCAGGAGGAAGTGCCAAGCGATAAGCCATATCTCCCACTCTATTTAGTATCTCATACGGTCCTATAAACCTGGGGCTCAACTTGCGTCTTTTTCCAAACCGCACTACACCTTTCGTAGGAGACTCGTAGGAACACTTTGTCTCCAAGTGCGAACACTAAGTCTCTTCTTCTCTTATCCGCATAAGATTTTTGTCTGCTTTGAGCTGTAAGAAATCTCTGTCTGATCAACTGGACTTTGTCCATAGCTTCTTGTACTAAGTCAGGTCCCAATAAGTTAGTCTCACCTGCTTCAAACCATCCGATAGGAGACCGACATCTTCTACCATACAATGCCTCATACGATGCCATTTGATTACTAGATTGGAAGCTATTGTTGTAAGCAAATTTAGCTAAAGGTAGATACGCATCCCAACTACCTCCAAACTCAAGAATACAAGCTCTCAACATATCCTTCAAGATCTGTATAGTACGTTTTGACTGCTCGTCTATCTGTGGATGAAATGCTAAGATCTACTCATGTACCTAATGCTTCTTGAAAAGATTTCCAAAAGTGTGAGGTAAATTGTGATCCTCTATCAAAGATGATGGATATTGGAACTCCGTGAAGTAGGAAAATTTTGTTCATAAATATCTGTGCATACCTCACTCCACCATATGTAGTCTTCACTAGCAAAAAGTGTGATGATTTTGTTAGTCGATCTATAATTACCCACACCGAATCATAACCTCTAAGGGTAAGGGTAGTCGAGTCACAAAATCCATGGTAATATATTCCCATTTCCACTCCGGAATCTCCATTTGTTTTAGAATTCCTGATGGTCACTGATGCTTAGCCTTGACTTGCTGACAAGTCAAACAACTAGAAACAAAGTTAGCAACATCTTTCTTCATACATTCCCACCAATAAAATTGCTTTAGGTCATGATACATTTTTGTGGATCCAGGATGTATAGTGTATCTAGAGTTGTGGGCTTCTTCAAGAATAGCATGTCTTAACCCATCTACGTTTGCTACACAGAGCTTGTCACCCATTTGAAGCACACCATCACTTTCAACAACCATATCCTTGCTTGTACCATCTAAGACCTCATCTCTGTATTTGCATAATATCTCATCCTCATATTGGATGGCCTTAATGCACTCAACTAATGAAGACTTAGCCTGAGCATAAGCCAACAATGCCTCTGAATTTTCGACACTAAATCTGATACCTGTATCTTCTTGTCTCTGAATATATTTGGCCAAAAGTCTCTTTGTAGGAGCTATATGAACCAAACTCCCCATAGATATTCTGCTCAATGCATCAACCACTATATTTTCTTTTCAAGGATGATACAAAATAGAACAGTCATAGTCTTTGAGTAGTTCCATCCACCGACACTGCCAAAGATTCAGATTTCTCTGCTGAAAGATATACTTCAGACTTTTATGGTTAGTATAAATCTCACAAGTTTCGCCGTAAAGGTAATGCCTCCAAATTTTTAGAGCAAATACAACTGCAACTATCTCCAAATCATGCGTAGGATAGTTTTGCTCGTGCTTTTTCAATTGTCTCGAAGAATAAGCTATAACACGACCATTTTGCATGAGAACACATCCTAATCCCACCCTCGATGCGTCACAGAACACCGTAAATCCTCCGAAAACTGATGGTAAGGCTAATATTGGTGCAGTTGTCAAACATGTTTTGAGTTTTTGAAAGCTCTGCTCACATTCTTCCGTCCACTGAAACCTTACATTTTTCTGTGTTAGCTTAGTCAGTGGCGCTGCTATTCTGGAGAAATCCTACACAAAACGCCTGTAATAGCCTGCTAAGCCTAAAAAGCTGCGAATCTCTGTAGGAGAAATAGGTCTGGGCCATTTCTGCACAGCTTTGGTCTTCTTAGGATCTACCATAATTCCATCTTTGGATACAACATGCCCCAGAAATGCTACCGGGTCTAGCCAAAATTCACACTTTGAGAACTTAGCATAAAGTCGATGTTCTCGCAATGTCTGCAACCCAGTGCTGAGATGATTCTCGTGTTCTCCTTGGCTACGAGAATATATCAGGATATCATCGATAAATACTATTACAAATCTATCCAAAACGACTTGAACACCCTATTCATTAAATCCATGAATGCAGCTAGAGCATTAGTTGGGCCCGAAAGGCATCACAAGAAACTCATAGTGCCCATATCGAATTCTGAAAGCAGTCTTAGAAATATTTTCATCTTTGATTCTAAGTTGATGATAACCAGAACGGAGGTCAATCTTTGAAAAGTGGGCAGCTTCTTGTAACTGGTCAAACATGTCATCTATACGAGGCAAATGGTATTTATTGCGTATTGTTATCTTGTTCAACTACCTGTAGTCAATGCATATTATTAGAGATCCGTCTTTCTTCTTTACGAACAATACTGGTGCACCCCATGGTGATACATTGGACCTAATAAAACCCTTATCTAACAAATCCCGCAACTGTTGCTTTAGCTCCCTCAACTCTGCTGGTGCCATCCGATATGGGGGTATCGATGTGGGTTGTGTGTCAGGTGGCAAATCAATACCAAAATCTATTTATCGTACTGGAGGCAATCCTGGTAAATCCTCAGGAAATACATCAGAAAATTCTCTCACTACCGGTACATTTTCTATACTAATTGTTCCTTCCTTGTGTCATTTACAATAGCAAAGAGACCCAAGCAACCTTTCTTCAGAATTCGTTGAGCTTTCATAAAAGATACAACTTTGCAAATCTCTGAAACCTGACTCCCTCTAAGAATAAAACTAGGTTCATTTGGTATCTCAACCTTAACTATCTTTGCATGACAATTGATGATAACATAGCAAGAAGATAACCAATCCTTCCCATCAGCATGTCAAAGTCAATCATATCAAGTACAATAAGGTCAACTAGAGTATCTCGACCCTCAACCCGGATCTGACAAGCACGATACACATATTCAGCTAATAGAGACTCTCCAACAGGAGTAACAACTAGAAAAAGGATCATTCAGTAGCTCAGGTTGTCTATTAAACCTCAAAGCAAAGTACATGGACACAGAGGAGTGAGTAGATCCCGAATCAATCAATGCAAGTGCATCAAATGAACAGACAGAAAGAATACCTGTGACCACAACATTCGAGGCCTGAGCATCCTGTCTAGTAAATGCAAAAACTCTTGCCTGACCTCTACCAACATTCCATTGTCCTTGATTCACAGTTGCACGGTCTCCAACACCTCGACCTCTATTTCATGTACCTGTAGCACCTGAAGTATTATGAGTAGTCTGAGTAGGTGCAACTGACTGAATAAAAAACTGGTTGAAATTTCTCGGAGGCTGAGGCCAATCCCTAAGCACTCTCTAGTTAGAACACGACACTGGCCCAAATGTGATCTACCACAGGTCTGGAAGATTGAAGTAGTGGCATATATCTGGCCAAAATTACGATGTCCAGGTGATGATGTTCCCCTAGTACACTGTCTGTAATGTGGTCTGTGTGTGGACTGTGAAGACAGGTGAGTCCCTGTCTGAGAACCCTATTGTTGTTGTCCCTGATTTCCTGCTCTTCGATTTTCACTAAAATCGCCACTGAAAGACACTCCTATCTTGGCCTTCTTACATAAATCACTAGTTATACGCTCATCACGTCCCTTGTTTTCAATCTTTCTAGCAAGGTCGACTGCATCAGAGTAGGATGCCTTACCTGTAGATCTTTCTAGCAAGTTTTTTCTAGCCAACTTAAAAAACTTGGTGTTATATGTCGATATATCCATATCTGGAGTCTGAACTAATCTCTCAAAGTCTCTAGCATATTTTTGCATCAGGCTTTCTGGAAGAAAATGATTCATGAACAACTTAGTGAACTCGTCCCATGTTAGTGGTGTTGCTCCTGTTGGCCTTCCTAGCAACACAGTTTTATACCATGCATTGGCCATATCCTCTAGTTTGTATGTTGCGAGCTCGACAGATCTCTCATTAGAATATCCCAGAGCACGTAATACCTTGAGTGTCCCATCCAAGAAACTTTGAGGATCTGCTGAATTATCAGAACCTGTGAATTTTGGTGATTTCAATTTCATGAACTCTTGTAGGGATACTTCCTTATTCCCGAAAGTGTGAGTCTGTGTAGGTGCTTGTATCTGTAAAGTAGCCTGAGGAGCTGAACTTCCACCCTGAGTAGGCACCAATACCTCTAACACATTCAATAGCCTTGCCACTACATCTACAGGTAAGGCAACAGTAGGTACAACAGGTGGCACTAGTGATGGAGCATCCTGAACCCACTGTTCTTTCACTTGATCTGGCATAGTAGCTTGGGTTTAACCCATGTTCTCAACTTTAGGTTGAGGAGCAGCATGTCTTCTAGTTTGATGAACCCCAACTTGACCACCACCTCGAGTAGTACCACTTTTAGCACCACGTCCAGCAAATGAAGGTGTGTGTGTCCTAGCCATCTGCGAAAGAAATACTCCAAAGTCAATCTCAAGATATCTCAACGCACGATCAAAGAATGAAAGAAGAGAAAACATTCCTAGATGTTCAGTAGCCTCAATATCATAAGTATGGGCGCCTACATACCCATGAACAAGACTCTACTAAACATTGCTCCATGACTCGGGGCTTAAAGCCTAAGCTCTGATACCAACTTTGTCACGACCCAATTTAGGATCGTGACCGGCGCTTAGGAGCAAGTGCTCCCAAGAAAGCCTTATCGGTATTTAACAGAAAAACGGACAGAGTTTCCACTATTTTTGGGCTATCCAAAAAGTTTCCTATCTCATAAACAAGTAACAACCAACCAATATTCACCTAAATAAGTTACAATCTTCATCAACTAACCACAAACGGGTTTCCACCAATATTACCAACCTCCTCAACATAATAAAACCAAAACCAACTCTAAAAATACGAAAAGAAAGTGTAATACTAGTAACTAGTCCATATCAACAAATGAATACTCACGACACTAAAAGGATGACTATGAAGTGACTCTAAGAGTTCAAAGAAAAGACCATAACAATAAATAAAATCTCCGCCCACGC